GCCTGGCCAGGCTTAGACATTTTATTACATGCACACATGTGCATGGGAGTTATTCAAAATATAAAAATAAAAACTCAAAGAAATGCCAAGATGACTGATGCTTTTATTCCATCTCGGGGTCAAAGAAAGAATGGGAGCTCAGAGCATGGCCAAAAACAGGTTATGGCAGTTAAACAGGTTATGATGGCAAAAGAGGTTATGGGAAGGAGAGAAGAGGAGGAGGTCTGGCTAGCAAAGGTGGTCTTGTTATGTAGATAAAGCCTCACAGGTAGCAGCTCTCAGAGAAAATAGATGGTAAATGTTTCTGTCTAACTTTTAAAGGCATCAGACTGTCAGTTAATCTTTCCTAGATCTGCGACTAGGGAGGGCTTCTGTGAAAGCCTGGCTGCATTAATGCAGATTTTCTCTACATATACAAATCTCTCCCACAAAAGAGAGCTTTGCAAGGTTATTTCTGTTTGCAGGCCCTATGAACAGCCATCTTAAAATATGTCAAAGAGGTATATTTTAGGATTAAATATTTTGGTTTTCTTTAGTCCCCTCTTTGAAACTTTACATTCAGAAAGTTTCACATATTAAAAGCCAAGTTGATAGCTTTGGAAAGATTTGGATTAGAAGTTTCAAGACAAGGGATAGGCAAAGGGGAAGAAAAAAACACATTGGGATATGCAGAAAACAGCAAATTGAAGTATATCATCCCATATCTTCTTGAATCAGTTTCTTAGTCCAGAGAATAGATCAGTTGGTTAAACATTTGTGATATCTATGTGTTTTAATTATTCTCAAGCTCAAGCTTAAATCAGTGATGTGATATAGCTGCAAATAAAGCTAGTGCAATCTTAGGCTATGTTAATAGATATATAGTGTCCAGATCTAGGTAGGCATTCTATACTAGTTAATTCACATTTTTAGTATTGTGGTCAGTTCTAGGCCTCACATTTTAATATCACTGGGATAGTGTAGAAAATATGTCATGTGAAAAATATTTGGAGAATGTAGTCATGTTTGCCTGGAAAAAAGAAGACAGTAGGGATAATAGCTCTCTTTGAATATTTTAAGGATTATCATATTAAAGAGGAATTAAACTCCACAGGATGGAATGCAGACCAATGGGTAGAAATTACAGGAAGACAGATTTTGGCTCAACATAAAGAGTAATGTTTTGTCAGTGATAGTAAGGCTATAATGAAACAGCTTTCTTGCAAGATCGTAAGTCTGTTGTCACTGGAAGACCGTAAGCAGAGGTGTGAACATCATAAAAATTATATATTACCAAAAGGACTACTTTCTTAGGTAGAAAATTAGACTACTATGACTCTTCAGTCCCTTCCTAATGCCAAGATTATATGATTCCAGAAAGTTTTGTACCATTTCTTCAGTATTGTGGATGTTGATATGTAAATGGTGTCTTCTTTATTTAACTGGCTGAAAGTGTTAGTAGTTATGATTGATAATGAAAACTATATAATTCTTGACTTTTGTGACATCTACAAAAGTTGAAATGAAGGCTATTTCTTTTTGCTGTAAGTTGATTTTTCATCTCTAAGAAATTCTCATGATTAGGGCCTATGGGTTTTATTGATATTTGCTTGACAGCTTTAAAAACCACTGTTAACAGTGGTATTTGCTAATGTGTTTTCTCTGTCCCAATAGAGCTCCTGGGATATTTCTTAGAGATCTATACAGGTCTTATATTTCTCTAGGCACTTACCATTATACCAGTTAGATAGTTGCTTTATTTATTATTTATTAAATTATTCAACAGACAATGAGTATCTTCTATTAACAGTACTATGCTAGGCTTTGT